GCTCGGCCACCCCTCACCACTGGTCTTCTCTAGATGCAGCCTCATCCTTGACCCCTCTCCAGCTCGCTTCCACCCAGGTCTCGGCCACAGCCCTCCGCTTTCCCCAATACATCTCATCCTCACCCCTCTACCTCTTGACAATCCTAAGACTCCCCGCAACCCTGGAGACCCACCATTCAGGTTTCCTCTTTTCCTGCTCAGCTTTCTTGATACCAGTATCCCACATACCCCTGGTCAGCTCCCCAAGGTCTTCTTGCCCTAAACAACCCACCCTCCTATACCCTCACCCCCAAACCCCCACTTTCATGAAAGACCATCACCCCAGGAGATGCCCTGTGAGCTCACCTCTTTCTTGATAACTGATCTCAGTCCTTTGCCAAGTTTTAGTGGATTGTGTCTTCAACGGACTCCACCCCTAATTTCCAAGCCCACCCTGTACTTCCTTTCCATCTCCAGCCATCCTGAAGACACCGCATCCCTAAGTCGTCGTTAAACTGCTCCCTCCCCTTGCTCCCCAGTTCCTATCACCCTCACCCAGTCTCATTAAAAACAATTAATCCATAAACTTTCACCTCTTCTGCCCCATCTTTATTCTTCACCACAGCTGTCCATCCATTCTTCGACCCAACCCCCATTCAAGCTGAGGAGGTACAGAGTCCCCTGCCAACCCCACAGCCCACCCTCAACAGCCATATCTAGGTGCTTGCTCAGAACCTGACGGAGACTGAGCAGCCTGAATGGTAAGTGTGGAGGAGGAGGAGATACCCCCCACCCCCCACCTTGGGTCAGAGGTTTTTCCTGGGTATCTGATCCCCTGTACCTACCCTCAGGAATTGTTTCTGACACTCATATTAAATCACTGTGCCAGCTGCTGGCATGGAAGGTATCACCTAAATACTTGGAAGGTGAGGGATGCCCGCTTACAGTGCCCAGTCCGGGGCAGTGAGGCCGTCCCTTCCTTTTGGCTGAGAAGCGGGGAGTGCTGCTGTGCGCTGTTGGCAGCCATCACAGCATCGTGTCCTTGTGTGTTGTCCAGCACTTGTTAGAGGCCCCTCACCCAGTGCTCCCAGCCAGAGCTCGTTGCGCCTCAGTCCCAGCACAGAACATAGGGAACAGATGGGTGCCAGAAGTGGTTACATGTGACGAGAATGGGAGAGTGGGTCCTGAGGAGACCAAGGCCTAGGGGGTACAGAGGCGTGGAATTGCTTTCTCTACTCCACAGGTGCTGCTGGCTCACTGATTAGGCAGACCACTGTGTTTACCCCTGGACACAGGGAACAGAGTTATCTCAGTAATGATGCAGGGGGACATTCTTGAGGTCCAGGCCCCATCCTCAGCATTTATCATGTATCACACATTTTTGGGTGCACATTACCCCCAAATGTTGGTGGCCAGGCTTCAGAGGGTCACACTTGTGGCAGCACGTGCGAAGGGTCCCGGAGAGGGCCTGCTGCCGTTGCTTGCCTTAGGGTCTCGTTCCTTCGACTTTCACTCCCTTTGTGGTGTGCCGTGCTGAACGGGTTCAGCCTGCTGGCAGCTGGGTTTACAGAAGGAGTTACACAGGCCCACCGCTGCAGAGTGGTCTCAGTTTCCACAGTGTGCGGTGCGGAACAGACTGCGTTGTGTCGTCATTTTATCAGTGCATTTGGCAAGTATTTCTGGAGTATATGCTCAGTACTCAAGTATTGCTTGAGTCCCATGGTGTTCCCCCCACTGTTCTAGGCACTAGGAATGCCTAGACCTGGGCATGGTAGACTTGGGCAAAGTTTCTGTTTTCACTCATCCAGAGTTTGGTCTTTGCTCGAATCCTAAGAGCTGTGGAGTGAGAATCCGAGAGGACGGGATGGAAGGCAAGTGGAAGGGAAGGTACCCAGAGCTGCCCAACCTCATATTCCTGCCTGCACTCCCTTGGCTGAGGGGCATACGCTAGAAGGTTCTCATCCTCAGTCGGTATTCCTTTGCTCAAAGGCCTGCTTCTCACCACACACACCGCCATCCCACCCCTCATGGGACACATCCCGCTTTGTTCAGGTGGAAGGTGTTTTTTACTCATTTAGAACTTCCATGGCTCAAAGGTCAGCTGCCTGTCTGAATCAGAAGGGAACTTTGTCATTCTTTTCCAAATGAAAAACATGATTCACTAATGGGTACAGCAGCTGGATGGCTTAAACACCAGGCTTTGTTTGGAGTAGCCAGGCACAGGATTGGATCCAGGCAGTAGACAGGAGGCTGTGGAAATGGCTGGGAAGTCTTAGGGAGAGGAGTTTGCTGTTTACTCGAGCTTAAAGTGTTTTAAAAAGCAGTAAAGCTGGCTCATCCGTTTCTTCTTTTAATGGAAGGCTCCTCTAAGCTATTCTCTTTTCTTTCTTCCTTGATCTCTGAAGGAAGTGAAATTGAACATACAGTATGCAGAAGGCCGGGCAGTGTCGTGAGGCAGTACCTTCCTGTGTGTTGAGACATTTCAGAGAAGGCAGCTGAAACCTCGTTACCGGAACGGTCCTGGGCTCAGCTGAGTGGGGTGACAGATCTGATCCACATGTTGTTTCCTGTTCATTTTAGGCCTTATTTAATAAAATGGAGCATGTGGGTGCCAAAGAATCTGTAAGTAGTATGTTTGCCTGACACATACTTTGAACCAAGGACCTGAGATACTGGTGAAGATACTGCATAGGATTGGGCCTAGGGAAACCAAAGATTCTGCCCTTTTCCTGGGCCCCTTTCTACTGAGCCTCAGTTCTCCTCTAAAGCGGGAGTGGTCGTCTCTCTACAGGACACTTGTCGCAATGACACGGAGCCAGAAACTCCGAGGGCTGCGTTAGGGTGAGTCGGCACTGGGGTGGCCGGGGTTCTCCTGCTCAGCCACCACAGGGAGCGTCAGAGTCCCGCAGTAGCATTGCCCGCGTCCACAATGCAGCCGCCGTCTCCTTGAAAACACGCTTCTCTGGTTGGTTCTTGATGTCAGTAACGACTGCTGTACGGAAGTGAAACCAGCCTCATAGAACGGTAGATCTGGAGTCAGGGTCCCCGCAGGGGTGATAGCGCCCTGCCCAGCAGTTCTGGCTCTGGTTCCTGTTCTGCTTCTCCTGGAAATACACCTGTCCTGGTCTGCCAGTCCCGCCTCCCACGGCATTATGGAACAGACATGTGCAGGTTGGGTGTTCGCTTCTTGTGCAGAAAGGTATGCCCTGAACCCCAAAGTCTTAGGCCTGTTTTGTGAATTGTCAAGTGGCTGTTCTGAGTTTCTCTGGGCGCTTGTCTGTCACTTTGTGGCCTTTGTGACAGTGTTTGGGGAGACTGTTACTTGCTTTTGTCTGGCCACACTTGGTCCTCTCAGCAGTTTACTGTTTTGATTTTAGCAGAACATCACTGGCCGACCACTTACTGATAGCTCCTCCTTCCTCCAATAAATACTCATAGTATTCGCCATTAATTAGTTAATGAGGCCTTAACGGACCCAGGCTGCTATTAATCGGATTGTCAAGGTCTGAGCTCCCGGCCTTGTGGCTGACTGAGGATGGGACAGCTTGGCGCTTGAGGATTGGGGCAAGACGAGCAGGGCTGAGGGTAGGCCTCAGGCCATGGCATGGCTGAGAGGGACCAGAGCCCTGAGTCTCGGAACTGGACTTCTGGACTTGCACTCCTGGTCTGCACAGGATCGCTCTGAGGAATCCAACCAGGACCTCCCCCCTTTTCCTGAGGCCCTGGCAGATGGAGTGTGGAGCTGGTCTCCAGAAGAGGGACCTGAGAATTCTGGGTGGTGGCCGGCGGGTGAGGAGGGTGCGGGCAGCGAGGCAGGGGCAGGGCCAGGGCTCTTCCCCGCGCCTAGGTGGCTCTGCAAGGGCCAGCCTCACACCCCTCCTCCCGCTGCATGTCTTTGCTTGGGGAGATGTTTGCCTGGGTCCTGTTTACCCCTCATTTGGGTCCTGTTTACCCTCTGCCAACCCCAGAAGCCAGGAATTGTATCATAGCACCTTCCGCCATATGGGGACACCCCACTTCTCTCCTTTGCAACCTCACGCTCCACTGCTCTCCTGTGAGCCTTTCCTGCCCGCCTGGCCTGAATGTTCCCTTGCGCCCCTTCACTTGGCCCAGCTCAAGAGTCCCCTTCCCAGTCTCCCTCTGCCCCCCAGGCTTCTTGGGGCAGGGAGGTGGTGCTCACCACCAGGAGCAGGTGGTTTCCCTCCAGCTGGGGTTGGTTGACGCAGGGTGAGGGTGAGGGGGGCAGGTGGCAGAGCCACACATGACCTTGGGATCTCAGCAAGTTCCCTGACCAGGCCTGCTCCTGGTTCTTATCTGTCAGGAGGAAATAAAGTATCACTTGTAGAGGGGTCATGAGGTAGGAATGAAGCAGTGCAGAGGTTGCAAAACCCATTTAGCATGACTTGGTTTTATTAGCTTCTTTGGGCCTTGATTTTTTCGAGAGCCGTGATAGCAGGAGCCTTTCGTCGTGGCCCTCTTGCGTAGCTCTGTGGCCACCAGACATCAGTGTAGAAGTGACTCTGCTTGCCCAGCCCTGGTGTAAGTTGCTGAGGTGGGGCGAGGCCGGCCAGCAGTCTTCTCTGGCCCAGGCAGCGGTCCCATCTCCTCCCCTCCCCGACCCCAGGAGGAAGCCAGCTGCCCTGAGAGATTTGACTGTTCTGACTTTGGCTGTACGTTCTTTGGGCTGCCTACTCATTCTGGCAGTAGCTTCTTTGTTAGATTTGTTGTTGTAGATATCCTTTGCACATATAACTGTCAGGCCTCACGTGGGGCACTTGCCACAGCCTTCATCTGAGAGTTCTGATAGAGTGTCCTGGCATGCCTAGCTGGTCAGTGGTCAGTGAGTGTTAGAACTGGGGGGTCTCCCCTAGCCCTCCTCCCCCTTTGAAATGATGCCATTTGTACTTTGTCACTGCCAAGCTTGCAGGCACTGGACTGGCGCAGAAGTCTGGGGTGGGCGGTTGCAGGCCCTGGTACCTGTCGGTGGTGGCACCTTCCCCCTTTGCTGTGGCACAGTCCTTACCACCTACGTGGGGCAGACCCACCTGTGGGTCTGCCAGACCCGCTCATCTCCCAACACCTAAACCCTCAGACACTTTCCCCTTCCTCAGTTCCTTCCTTAACATCTACTTTCAGTTTTTACTTTTGTGTTCAGAGGCCTTTCGGTTGTAGTTTTGAGAACTGTGGCTGTGGGCCTCTGGGGTGAGTTGGGCCCTTCCTCACCTGCCGGCCATCTCTCTCTGCAGGTGTCATGTGATGCTCCACGGGTGTTGCTGCGTGAGTGGACATGCTTTCAGTGGCGGAGAATGGACTGGACCCCCGGGCTGCCATCCCAGTAAGTGGCAAGGAAGAATCAGGGTGGGGAAGAGGTGGCCGAACTCTATCTCATTCCCTTGTCGCACTTTGAAGTGCGCTCTCTGGAAAGAGGCCTCCAGCTGAGAAAAAGTTACAGCCGAAGCAGGATTTGAGGAGATCTGCCCTTTCTAGATCATCATTTTGGTGGTCCAGCAGGCATTTATGAAAAACAGTGGGGATTTGAGGTTGGTGACTTAAAGAATTTCCACTCGGACCTTCAGCCCTGCGTCTGCTCTCTTGCCTGATTTGATCACAGCTTGGCCTTGCACTGAATTGGTCAAAAATAGATATTCCCAGGCACTGGTTTGCTTTAGAGCAGGCGGGGAACCTGGCAGTGTACTCCATCCTTGAATATTTACCTCTTTCCAGCCAGTGACCAGTGGCAGGACCAGTGGCAGGACCAGTTCGAGGAAAGCCCTTTGTGTGCTGCTGGGCCCAGGCAGGCAGGTCCCTTGGAGAGGCAGAAGGTGGAGTCAGCTTTTGAGCTGGCCCCTCAGCACAGCCCTAAGCCAGGGTTTCGGTCCCTCCTTACTACAGGCCACAGTTCAGAGAACTCTTCTTGAAAGGAGCTGTGGGCCTCAGGGCACGTTCCCGCTGCTCACCACAGTGGAATACCCAGCTTTCCCGCAAAGGCCTTTCCCAAATGGTGACTGGGCCTTTTCCCCAGGGGCCCCCCGAGGTGGGGCAGAGGTGGACTAGCTTGAGCTCCTGGCAAGGGCTGTATGGATCCACTCGCGAGCATAAGAATTTCTGTAGCGTCTGCTGCGCTCATCTCTGCATCCCCTTGCTAATAGGCTTTCAGTTGAATGAAACGTTTGTGCTTTTACATACTGTACTAATAATAGCTTTACATCTAAAAGAACATTCAACATTAATTTTTTTGTGCTTTTGCTTTAAAGGGTCTATTATCCAGAATCTATAAAGAGTTCTTACAGTGCAACAATAAAAGATAAATTACCCAATTAAAAAGTGGGCACAGTATTTGAAGAGGCCTGTGCTAAAGAAACTATAAAAATGGCCATTAAATACGTGAAAAATACTTTGCATCATTAGACACTAGAGAAATGTGAGTCAAAATCATGAGCTACTTCTTCACACTAAGGGTTCTGTCATCAAAATGGCAGACAGAAAGAAGCGCTGGTGAGGACGAGAGATCAACACCCTCCTATGCTGCTAGTGAGGAGGCGCAGGGGTGCAGCCACTGTGGAAAGCAGCATGGCAGTTCCTCAGCAAGTTAAATGCAGAGTTACACACCACCTAGCAATTCCACTACCAGGTGTAGACTCAAGGACTAAAAATGTGTCTACACAGAACCTTGCATCAGTGTTTATTGCAGCACTGTAGCCAGAGTGAGAACAGCACGAATGTCTTACTGATGAGTGGATAAATAAGATGTGGTGTATCTGTGCACTGGCATATTATCTGCAGTAAAAGGGAGTGACGTGCTGATGGGAGCGGCTGCATAGATGAACCTTGAAAATATGGTGTGAAAGAAGCCAGGCTCAGAGGGTGGAGAAGACCTTTTTATGAAATGTCCAGAATAGGCAAATCCATAGAGACAGAATGTAGATTAGGGGGTTACCAGGGAGGGGGAAAGGGAGTCACTGCTCATGGGCACAGTGTTTCTTTCTTGGCGGTGATGCAAATGTTCTAAAATTAGATGGTGAGTGTTGCATGGGTCTGTGATTATACTAAAAACCATTGAACTATAAACAAAGTAAGTGTATTTATGCTGTGTATAGTATGTTGCATCAAAGCTGTTATAAAACATTTAACTTTTTGTTCTGCATGAACTGGTTTTGGCAAAAATCAGAACAAAACAGGGCCTCCCTGGTGGGGCAGGGGTTATGTCTCAGCACCATGAAGCTGTCCCAGCCAGGGGGTGACCCACATGGCACGGCAGACCGCTCCTGACCCGCCCACTGCCCCCCTCAGCAGTGTACTTCAGTGAATCTGCCTCTTCCGCTCCCACTCTGTCACTGTCACTGGTGAATCCTCTCACCTCTGGCCTACGCTCCTTGTGTGCATAAATAAATATTAAAAATCTTTTAAAAAATTAGAACAAAACAGTAAAAAAACTCGCCATCATCCATTCACCTAACTATTCAAGCCAGTCTCTGCAGTCCCTTCTGGTCCTCTTCCCAACACTTTGAGAGTGATCACGTTATGATAGAGCGGTCTTTAACTGTATTTCTGTATTTATTCTTCTATAATCTATTCTTTAAATAAATACTTGTTGAGCTCTTGCATGTGCCAGGAACTTTACCAACTGTGTGGACAGAGGATGATTAAAAGACGATTCCCACCACCCTCAAACACTGTTGATGGAATGTTGACTGCTCCAGCCCTATGGGAGACCGTGTGGTAGTAGCTCAAAATATTGGAAATAGATCTGCCACATGATGTTGCAGTTTCACTCCTAGGTATTATTTACTGAAGAATGCACAAATGCTAATTTGAAAAGGTAGAAGCATCCGTGTGTTCTTTGCAGCATTTTTTTTTAAATGTGTAGTTTTACATCCTTTTGCATCTTTTCCCATCTCAGTTGTAATCAACATGGGTTTCCCATCACTGAGTCACCCGTGTGCCATCACCATAGTCCAGTGCATTTCCCTCCCCCCACTGTTTTTGATCCCATTCCCCATTCCACCCCCGTAAACTGTCTCTGGTATATAGCTGTTCATTATTACTATTTTTCCCCCCAATCCTTTATGCTCCTGCTATGTGTGAAACCATCTGGTATTTTGTATTTTTCCTTTTCTTTCTGGCTTATTTCACTAAGCACAATCCCTTCCAGCTCCATCCATGTTGCTGCAAAAAGCATGAATTTATCTTTTTTTGATTGCTGAGTAATATTCCATTGTGTATATGTACCACATCTACTTTTAGGCATTTGGGTTGATTCCATGTCTTTCCTATTGTAAGTAAAGCACATTGCAGCCCTTTTTACAATATCACCAAGTTAGGGAGATAACCTAAGTACTCAGGATAGATGAATGGATCCGGTAGGTGTGGTATGTACACAGTGGAGCACTACTCAACTGTATAAAAGATAAACTCTTGCCATTTACGACAACATGGATGGAACTGGAGGGAGGTGGATAATGTTGAAACAAATCAGGAGAAAGGCAAATGCAATGTGGTTTCTCTTATCTGTGGAATATAGAGAAACAAAACAAAGGGTCATATAAAACCAAACAAATAACAAACCTTGGAATATAGCTACCAGAAGAAGGAGGAGAGCAGGGTGGGAGGGGCATGGTGTTTTTCTTACTGTCCATGGTAGACTGTCACGGAGGATTATGGGTGACTTAGTGATGGTGGGTGTGGTAATTACATCTAAAAGGTGTGAGCCCTAAATCATCATATACAGTGTTGTAAACAAGTTTTCCTCAATTTAATGAATAAATAAACAAGTCCTGCCCTCAAGAGTAATCCCCTGATTGCTATAGAGCAGGAAGTATTATTTTCATTGAACAGAAAAGGAAATTGAGGCTCAGAGAGGATAAGTGAAATGTCTGAAGGTGCCCACCTTTTGACCAATAGAGCGGGGACCAAACTCAGGCCTCTCACTGCCAGGTCTAAGATCTAGACCAGCTTCCTGTTTTCTGGCTCTCTGGTGGGACTTTTTTTTGCCTCTGGTGGTACTTGTTGACTTGGGGATGTTGGCTGTGCCAAGCCTCACCCTGCTGTAGATATCTAACCCAAGTTCCCACAGCTGTAACTGATGAAACCACTGTTTAAACACAAGATCTGTGAGACTTCAGTGAATGTAAGTCTGGTTTAAGAAAAAATCTACACAGATATCTTTGCCAAAAAACCTGTTAACTCTGTCTCTGGGTAGTATGTGTAATTTTCCTTTGCTTCTCTGAGCCCTGTTTTCTGTGATCAGCTAGCACATGCTGACCATGTGCTAGCTTTGCAGAAAGAATGTCTAGATAAACTGGTGTGCGCACGTGTGGGCACGCATACCTTTGGTGACGGTGTAGATGCATTCCAGAAGTTGCCATGGGATCTGCTAAAAGCAGGCCTGTGTCATCTTTGCCAGGTTATCAAGAAGAAGCTCGTGGGATCCGTGAAGGCGCTGCAGAAGCAGTATGTGTCCTTGGACACGGTGGTCACCAGTGAAGACGGCGATGCCAACACCATGTGCAGTGCCCTGGAGGCTGTGTTTATCCACGGCCTGCATGCCAGGCACATCCGGGCCGAGGCTGGAGGAAAACGGAAGAAAAGTGCCCACCAGAAGCCTTTGCCTCAGCCTGTCTTCTGGTCCCTCCTAAAAGCCGTCACCCACAAGTAAGATCAGTGAGGAGGTTTGGGGTGGGATTCAGAGTGCGGGACACCCAGCGTCCTCCCCAGAAGGGAGAAATCAACAGAGAGCTTTGTGTTCTAGAGCAGCTGGGTGAGGTGGGGGTTAGCACTAGTCCCAGCCTCCCAGCCAGGGTGACTGTAGACAGCCAGGCTGTCACCCTTCAGGCAGCCCACTAACCCCTGGGCTGGTGGCCTTTGGGCAGGAACAGCCCTTTTCCACACTGGAGCGGTTAGGTAGTTGTCACAGAGGCTTGAGGCCTGCAAAGCCCAAACCCTGCACTCCCTGGCCCAGCACAGACGAGGTTTGTTTGCCCTGTCCGTCAGTGTTCCAACATCTGGGTGCTAAATATGATGCTCATAGCAAGGTATGGGATTAAAAAACAAACGAGCATAGAATCCAGAGAGAGCATCTGACTATACTCCCTGAGATACTTGACTTTTTTGGCCCTGTTCCCAACTGGCTTTTGCTCCTTCGCTGAACCCCTGAGGGCTATTAAATGCTACATTTGGCCCCAAGGCAACTTATCAGTTTCTCATCTTCCCTTCCGGGCCTACTGCCACAGCCTTGTCTGAGGTTCTTGCCTTACTCCAGGATGATGATAGTGTTTCTAATTGCGCCCGTCTCATTCTGTCTTTCCTTAGGTCAGTTAGCTGATGAATATTTCCTGAGTTTCAGCTAACTGAGCTCAGTGACTGCGTCCTGTAGTGCGTGGTCTGCCCCCCAGGAGGAGCCCTGCCACGGGGTCGGGGTGACTCCAAGCAGGGGCAGCTGCATCAGACAGGCTGTCATACAGTGTGCGGGACACATGGGGTCTGATCTGAGCCTGAGGAACCCAGCCTGAAGTCTGTGTAGCTGTGACTTTTCCGTTCAAAAACCTGTAGCCTACAGACTCCCAAATGCCCCCCCGGAGACTGATTTACTAGGCTAGGGACCTGGAACCTGTATCCCAAACACCCCTGGCTAATGCTGATGTCCATCCAGGTGTGAGAGCTATTGCCCACTTTGCCTCACCAGTTTGACAAGCAAGGCCCTGCATTACCTGGTTTTGTAACCGAATCGCCACTCTCGTCTCCAGATGCTCTCTCTGGACTCCACACTTGTTTTTTTCTAACCCCATACCTTGCTATGAGTATCATATTGAGCACCCAGTGCCGAGCAACTCCTGTCTCAGGCCACTTGCTTTCCTGCACCTTATGCCTCTCTGTCAGTCCCTCATGCCTAGAAGTTTCTCCTTCACCTTTACCTCTTACTGCAGCCTGGGCATGACTGCCTGGCCTCTCCCCAGCTCTGCTAACAAAGCTCACCTCTGTGTACTCCCTGGACTGACGGCAGGGCATGTCCTCACCTGGTCCTCAGCCTCCAAGGACCTTGAACTTGGGGGGCTCAGCAATCATGTGTTGGTAAGCAGATGATGTCGGGGCCCAGGGACTGGTTGTAATGCAAATGTCCTTTGTGACACCAGCTCAAAATACTGGGCGTCAGAGCTTCATGTTCTTAAACTTCACTCAAAACTGCTCTCCCAGAGTTTTTCTTGCCTGTATACACTGGCATTCTTGCAATGTTGCTTCCTACTGATTGGTTAAGAAAATAACATCTCAGTGATTTGAAATCATTTCTTGAAAAAAGTTGTCCTCCCATTCCCAGACACATCATCTCGGAATTGGAGCACCTGGTCTTTGTTAGCACGGACGTGGGCCGCTGCCGGGCCTGGCTGCGGCTGGCCCTCAACGACGGCCTGATGGAATGCTACCTGAAGCTGCTCCTCCAGGAGCACACCCGGCTGCGCGAGTACTACCAGCCCACGGCCCTGCTTCGAGATGCTGAGGAGGGCGAGTTCCTCCTCAGCTTCCTGCAGGGACTGACATCCTTGTCCTTTGACCTCTCCTACAAGTCCGCCATCTTGAATGAGTGGACGCTTACCCCACTAGCCCTCTCTGGGCTTTGCCCACTCTCTGAACTTGACCCTCTCACTACCTCTGGCACAGAACTACAGCGGAAGGAGTCTCTGGATTCAATTTCCCATTCCTCAGGCTCAGAGGACATCGAAGTCCAGCACTCAGGCCATAAGATCCGCCGGAACAGGAAGCTCACTGCCTCCTCCCTCAGCCTGGACACAGCAAGTTCGTCCCAGCTGTCTTGCAGCCTAAACTCTGATAGCTGCCTTCTCCAAGAGAATGGGTCCAAGAGTCCAGACCGTTCTGAGGAGCCCATGTCCTACGACTCAGACCTGGGGGCAGCAAATGCCGAGGATTCAGACCCATCTCTGCAAGAGTGAGTACCCCTGCCCCATGCCTTCCCAGTCTCCCTCTGGCCTGTCCTTCCTTCTCTTCTTTCTCTCCCTCCCTTCCTATAACATGCGATTGCCACTAAGCACTGAAGGGGCACCATCTTACGTCCTCAGGGCCTGGAGTCTCAGGGGGCTGTAACCGAGACACCTTGGGGGCAGTGAGGAGAATGGGTTTATACAGGACTCAGAACTGGTTCAGTCTGCAGCTCTACCCCCGTGTGACCTTTCACAAGTTTCTCAATCTCTGAGACTGTGAAAGAAATTGTTGGCTTCTTCCTCGGAGAGAAGGAAACTAATAGTTCAAAGCTGTATTCCAAGTTCCCCAAATCTCCTGGGTGACCTCTCTGACCTGGAAGACACAGCCTGAATGGTGCCTAGTGGGGGTGGTCAATGAGGGAGCCCAGAGATATGTGGAGAAAGGATACAGATGGGACACCTCAACTAGAGGAGGAAGCCTGGACAGAGCCTTCTGCATTAATTTTGGTTAAAAAAAATTTTAAGTACACAGTGAAGTCTTTTCCCCCTGTAGCCACAATTGTTGCTGTCACACAGGCTCTTTCACTGCTTCTATGTGTCTGTAACAAATAAGAATATGCAGGTCTTTTGTAAAGTTTCTTATTTCTGATCCCTCTTCTTTTCCCACAAAAGGAAAAGTATAAGTTCATTATTCTACACCTTCTGGTGGAGGCTTCTTTTTATATCAGCCTTCTTTATCTTTTTTTTCTATTGATTATGTTTTTCTATCGTATGACTGTCTCTTAGTTGGTTGTATCAGCCATGTATTGATGACATTGGAGTTCTGTGTTTCTGTCTGTACCCATGTGTCTGGTCTTTCTGTTCTGTGTGAGTATCTCTGTTCAGTAAATTTCCAGAAGCAGAATTGTTGAGCCAAAGGATAAATTAATTGGCAATTTTCACAGACACTGCCCATTTGCACTCCATCATGATGGGCCCGTTTCCTCTCAGCCTGTCCACAGAAGGTGTTATCAAAGCTTGGGTATTTGTTCATGGGACAGGCCAAAACTGATAACCTTCTATTAAGCATTTCATTCATGTTCCATCAGCCTGTGTTTCAGACCACCTTTTCCACTCCTGCTGCCCACCCACACCTAAGTTCAGGTCTTCCCAGGGTGTAGAAATAGCACCAGGGTTGGGTGATGCTGTGGACTGCTTTGGAGCGATCTGGTGTCAGTCCTGGTACCTCTCTTCTTTCTCTCCCTCCCTTCCTATAACATGCGATTGCCACTAAGCACTGAAGGGGCACCATCTTACGTCCTCAGGGCCTGGAGTCTCAGGGGGCTGTAACCGAGACACCTTGGGGGCAGTGAGGAGAATGGGTTTATACAGGACTCAGAACTGGTTCAGTCTGCAGCTCTACCCCCGTGTGACCTTTCACAAGTTTCTCAATCTCTGAGACTGTGAAAGAAATTGTTGGCTTCTTCCTCGGAGAGAAGGAAACTAATAGTTCAAAGCTGTATTCCAAGTTCCCCAAATCTCCTGGGTGACCTCTCTGACCTGGAAGACACAGACTGAATGGTGCCTAGTGGGGGTGGTCAATGAGGGAGCCCAGAGATATGTGGACAAATCCAAATCCAGTAACATTAGGCAGATTGCTTACTATTTTGCAGTTTTGTTTCTCTATTTTTAAAATAGAGATTCCCTCAGAGGCCTGTTTGAGAGTGAAGACAGAGGCCTGCTAGTTAGTTGCACACATCAGAATGTCTTACAGGTAGGCCCCAGAGATAGCTTCAGAGCACTGGAGCCCATTCGATAGAATTTCATATGTTCAAGGGAAGATTTCAGCCACGGTTGGGAAGGAACAGCCGCGTCCCAGTGATGGCGGGACCCCTGACATGATTTAGGTTCATGCACTAGTCTGGTCTAGCCCTTCCTGGTCTCTCCTTCCTCCTAGAGACCAGCCAGCCCCACTTTGTCATGTGTCTTAGGTTTATCTTTCATGAGTCTGGTGATTGGAAAATTCCAGCTTAAGGTCACTGAATCAGTGACCAGCCACCTTGTGTGCAAAGTGCCGTCCTGGGTATTGGGGGAGCGTGAGGGAAGACAGTCAGGATGGGCAGGCCAGAATTGGACAGTGATGTGGCAAACACGACTCTCCCAGGTACAGAAATCCAGCACCGTCATTCTTAGAGCTGACCTTGAAGTTTGTCCTTCAGCTTCCTCAAAGGCACATTTCTTTGAGTGTATGTTTTAAGAGGAAAGATTCTCACTAACAAACTTAAGTTACTTTTATTATATGACTTAAATGTAACAAAGTCATTTAAATAATTTAATTTGATATTTAAAATCACTTAAATGTACTTTTGAGTTAATGTCACTTAAAAACATAAGTACCCAATGCTTACACCCTCCAACTAAAAAAATCCAAATGTAAGTTGAACATACAAGTCCAGCCCACGTAACATTCCAAATGAAATTTAGTCACTTAATGTTTTACAGAAACCAAATCACCGTTTGCCTGGTGATCCGTAGACTCTTGTGTTTGAGGAGTCTGAGTTATAATTACCCCAGGCGCCAGTGCAGGCCCAGCCTGGTGGTACGCTTCAGACGCTGGGCCAGAGTGCCTGAGTCAGCCCTTCTCCAGCCTTGTGACCTTGAATGAGTTACTCAACCTTGCTGACCTCGGTGTCCTCTGTGAAGTGGGGGTTGCTGGGAAGATGAAGTGAATTGAGAGGCGAAGCGTTTGGAGCAGACCCTGACTCGTTCAGAGTGCTCAGTAGGTGGTCGTGTCACTGCTGGTCCCCAGTGTCTGCTCGCCCTCTGCTGTCTCTCTCTGCGCTGCCACAAGTCCGTGGTGAGTAGTATTTGTCAGACCTCAGTCTCACAAGGCCTCCCCCGAGGGAAGTGGTTCCAGCCCTCCGCTCCATGCCTAGTGGCCCTGGGCTGCCAGATGGTAGGTACCATGTACCACCACGACATCCCGGAAAACCACAGACTCAGAAGTGCTCTGCAGAGAGACTGCCATCCGGGTTCTCCAGGCCGTACTTTGCACTATTTCAGTGTTCATACTACGTATGTGTGTATGTGTGGGTATATACACACATACAGAACATGTTTACTTGTAGCAGATAGTAGATAGTTTTCTAAGTGAAAACAACAAAGTTTTCATTTGAAACTGCTGCCTTGAGCCAGCCAGAAGTGGGAAGCCTGGGAATGGGAACAGTTTTACTTTCTTCAGAATTTTTGAAATTTTTCTTACTCTCCCTTTCCTTCAAAATCCTGTCTCTATACTTTTTTTCCCTTTTGCTATACATATTTCTCTTATTCTCTTTAATTCAGAAGACCAGTACCAATTTGGTGAAAACCCATGAACTTAGTTTCACCTTGTCAACCTTGGTTCTGACTCTGACTTATCACTTGAGCATCTTGTTTGGGGGTGCTTCTTCAGCTGTCAATCCACTCCATCTGCTCTGTGCCACTAAAATCTTCCTTACAGATTAGGAGTCTTGGTAATGCTGGTGTGTGTGTGTGTGTGTGTGTGTGTGTGTGTGTGCACGCGCGCGCTGTGCAGACTTATCAGTGATGATATAAACAGCTACAGAAATTAAGGTTACCATTTATTAAGTGTTTGTGCTAGACATTCTACAAAGCATTTTGCCTACATGGCCTCATTTAATCTTTGTCATGGTGATAAAAGGTACATGCTCTTGCCTTACCTGATTTACAAACAAGGGAATTAAGTTCCAGAACTTTGGGGACTTTTCGTGGGGTGCCCAGCAATGTGCCGACCAAGGCCAGGTGGACTCTGGAGCCCCGTGCTGCTGGAACCTCACAGGGGACAGTTGTTGAAAATCTCCTTCCTGAATTCACTTCAGAAGGTGCTCCGTCCTGTCACAGTGGGTGGGCACATACAGTTTGTTGACAAACATACTTTCATTCTCTGCCAGTGAAAACTACCCCTTCTTTTCCAGAACTCACCCTTGCCTACATGTTGTGAGCTACACTCTTGTATTTTCCTGTCTGGCTTTAGGGCAAAGCCAGGTCTCCCACAACTATTTCACCACAGCTATCTGTCTTTCTCTAATTGGCCTCCTATTTTTTTAATTGAGAAATAAGTCACATACCATAAAACCCACTATTTTAAAGTGGAAGATTCACTGGATTTTAGTGTTTCACTACTGTCTACTTCAAAAACGTTTTCACTACCCTGAAGGAAAACCCTTAGCATTCGCTATTGTGGCGATTTAGTATATATGGAATCTTACAGTGCGTAGCCTTTTGTGGCTTTTCCTTCACTTCGAATGTTTTCAGGGTTCACCCATGTTATAGCTTGTATCGTGGCTGAGGAATAGCTGCTGAATGGCTGTACCACACTTTGTCCAGTCATCAGTTAATAAGACATTTGTTGTCCATTCAAAAGTCAATACTTTTGAGCTATAATGAATAGCATTACTATGAGCATTTTTGTAAAATTTTCAATTCCTTTTTGGGCATATACCTAAGAGTAGAATTGCTCAGTCAAGTGGTAACTTTTTGAGGAACTGCCAAGCTTTTCCACAAAAGCTACACCACTTAATCTTTCCACCAACAACATATGAGAATTCTAACTTCTCTGTCTTTGCCAACATTTGTTACTTTGTGACTGTAGTATTCTGGTTGTTGTAAAGTAGTGTCTCTCTGATAGTTTCAATTTACATTCATAGCTGCTAATGCTGTTGAGCATCTTTTCATATAATAATCAGCTATTTGTGTGTCTTTGGCGTAATGTCTGTGCGAATCCTTTACCCATTTTAAAATTTGGATATTTGCCTTTTTACTATTGACTTGTAAGCTGTTTTTATTTTCTAGGTATTAGAACTTTATCAGATAGATAATATTTGCATATAAAATATACAAAATACAGAATATGCAAGTATTTTCTTAATCTGTCTTTTCACTTTCTTGACAGCCCTCTTGAAACAAAGTTTTTAATTATCTAATTTACTTATTGTTTGATTATACATAAATAGCATATTTGAGAAATCATCACCTAAACCAAAAACTTGCACCCATTTCCTTCTAAGAGTTTTATCTCTTGCATTTAGGTCTTTGGTCCATTTTTGTGTTAACTTTTGTATGTGGTGTGAGATAGGGTCCAGCTTCATTCACTTACATGGGCCTCTCCATTATCCCTGCATTATTGCTAAAAACATTATTTCTTCATAAATGTATGGGTTGGTAGCCTGCTCTTCACAAAAATATCCAGAATGTTGTCCAGGGTTATGAGGTTAAAGCAGAGCTGGAAGACACTCCAATAAAACTGGAGTCCCAGAGTCCTCATTTCCATGGGCCTACATTGAGGGGGCTTTCTACGTGTCTTCCGGACCCGGTTTTAGCCGCGAGGGCAGATGTGTGCAGCCTTTGCACTCCAGACAGCTCTCTTGCCTTTTGAACCTCCCTTCGTTCATGGCCCTCGCTACTGGGTTTGTAAACAGAGGAGGAGGCAGCAAACAGGTTTGCTTCAGACACGAAGTGGAGTCTCAGAAGCCTCAGGAGAGGGAGGTGGAACCACTAACCCTCCAGCCAGAGCACATTCCGGGAGGCCTAGGAGTATGTTTGTGCATGAATGTGTGCGTGCGTGTGCACCCAGGCACCACTGATTTCCTGCAGCCCCAGGAGCATCACTGAAGTGCGAGGCCCCTTGGGAGGAGTGAGCGGGGCACCCTGGGCCCACATACTTGTGTACATACATGTCCATTTTGCGAACAATGCAGTTTCTGCAAACAAGAAGCAATTTCTGCAAACAAGAAGCATGTCTTGACACCCAGTCAAGCTCTGGAGTGACCAGACCTTGCACCCCACCCCACCCCTCTGCTCAGTTATTGTTGCAGTACAAAGTGGACCTCACGCCACCTAAGTCCCTGCCACAGGGAACAGAGGCTTGGTGTCTGAGCTGCTGGTGGGGCCCAGCCCAGGACCCAGACTCTGCTGCCGCCGGCCTGGGGCATGATTGCCCACGGGACCCTGTTTTATCAAGCAAACTCCAGACCCAGTTAGCCTGTTTAGAAGGCAAAGGGCGGAGTCCCCTTTGCCCCATGTCCTTTTTCTGTTTTATGAGCTTTTTTACCGGAGGTCCTGGGCTCCACGACTCACCTGCCTAGCCAGTCTGCCCAAGTCCTGACTGGGGAGAGTCCTTGGTGTGGAGTGTTGACACAGGAGGGCTGTGTGGGAGCTGTGGAGCACCTTGGGTGATTTAAGAGCACCAGGTTTGCTTTGTTCCTTTAAATCACAAAACAGTCGCACATTCTTAACACTGCCCCAGTACCCTGCGGGTTTTTTCTAGCTGAAAACCCAACCTGTCTCACAGGTTTCTTTGTTTAAAAACTTCTAGGGTGTTATCGGAGTTCAGCAAAGCCCAGGTAAACTCTGTGCCAACCAGCGGACTGAGCGGAGGAGTAGGGACCCCCACCCAGCCGGACTCGCTGCCCCCCCGCCCCCAGGACACCAGCACACGCCTGCACGTTGCTGCACCTGCAGAGCCCCTCCCTGCCCACGCCTCTGCTGGGGCTCCAGGTGGTGGCCCCCAGCAGGAGCTGCTCTTCCAGGTGCCTGGCGCCCTGGGCTGGAAGCCACTGGGCACGGCCCCAACTGTCCCTTCCAGGAGCACTTCCGGCCAGCAGCCTCCAAGTCCTGTGAGAGACAGCGCCAGGGCAGCCGGCCAGAGGAGTAGCCAGCAGAAGCCCCTGGAAAACGACAACGCTGGCCAGAGCTTTGGGGTTCCTTCGCCCACGAGTCCGGTGAGTGAGACGCGCTGTGTGCAGGGAGGTCTTGGTGAGATGTCCGGAGCGGGTGCAGCGTCTGCCCAGCTGACACCCCGGTGGTCTCTGCAGTCTCCCCACTAGTCCCGCTCGCACTCCGTGCTGCTGGTGTTCGTAGCATCATGGCGGTGGGTCTAGCACTACTTGGTCTGTGAGGAGGCGGATGGATCAGGCACCGTGCTGGTCACTGCCATGGGCCTGGTCTGTCAACTTTACATTGACCCCGTCGGAGAAGATAGTTCTTACCGGATCACACTCTCGGCTCCTAATTTTCGAGTACAAGACTTGGGCAAGGCACTTACCTCGTGGAGTCTTGATGTCCCCTCTAGCACAGGTTGATATGAAGCTGCTGTTTCCTAAATATCAGGAGGCGAGGTGCTCTCTCTGCAGCCATGAACCGGTTTAGAACGGGGCTGTTCCCAGGGCCACTGTGGCCCTCGAGCACTTAAAACGTGGCCAGTTGCAGAGTGAGATGGGTTGTGTGAAAGCAATACCAGATGTTGAATACTCAGTAGGAAAAAAACTAAAATATCTCATTAGTAATTTTTCTTAAAGACTTATTTATTTATGCACAAGGGCATTGAGAGGATTCACCAGGGACCGAGCGGGGAGCAGAATAGGCGGACTGACTGAAATGCTGAGGGGAGCAGCGGGCGGTCAGGAGAGGTCTGCTGTGCTGTGTGGGTCAGCTCCCTGGCTGGGATTGAACTCTGGCTAAAGCCTCTGTGACAGCTTCCTAGTGCTGTGCTTTAACCCAGGGTGGGCCCACTATAATTTTTTGATTGGTCACCTGTTCAGAGGAAAATATTTATATTTTAGCTGTGTTGGGTGACAGAAAATATATTACTAAAATTAATTTCACCTGTTCCTTTTGATGTTTTAAAAACATGGCAGCCATAATATTTTAAAATGACACCTGTGGCTCACCATGTATTTCTGTCGGACAGCGCCGTCTAGAATAAACCCGTCTGGGCTGCTGATCGCACAGGGGAAGTCAGCCCTGGGAAACTCCTGGAGGGAGCCGTGTGTGGCGGCTCGGGACTCTCGGCACAGGGACGCCGTAGTCAAGTGGCAAAGCTGAGCCCTTGTGCGGTGACACGTTTGTTCTCGTGTAGCGCTGTCATTTCCCAAAGCTGTGGCTTTCTCTCCAGGGTTGGTAGGGCAGGTCCGTGTGTGGTGTCTCCCCTGGCCCAGGTCTGGAGCGGCTGCTCAGGAAGGCGCACAGCTCCGTCCCCAGTGTGCGCTCCGTGTCTGGCGTCTGAGCTCCGCCTGTGTCCATCCCTCTCTGTCTGCACATCGGCATGAGGCTGTGGCTCTCTCCCCCGCTCTCTCGTGCTCCGTTAAAAGAAAACATCACAGCGTCTCATCCTTTCTTCTCTTAATGCCGTTTGGCTTATTTCTAGGTTTGGCTTTGATGAGGACAACTGCTGTGACCATGCCCAGCTCTGGCAGCAGTGGAACAGGGCGGACAAGGCTTTTTGGGCAGACACGAGGCTAGAAAATATTTGCCCGCATCATAATTATACTTGTGATGAGTGTTGGGAAGGAAAAGTTTCTGGGTGACTTCATATTTGTGGCATCTGGGCAGTTGCGAATGGGGTTTCAGTGTATCTCCCAGTGGATGGTGTGAGTTCAAAGACTGGGTGCTAATCGCTGCCCTCCTGGGCCACCCACCTCTGGCATGTGGCTCCCTCCCCAGGCGGTCCCTTTGCCTGACATGGCGAGGGCAGTGTGACCGCACAGAGCGTGCCCTTTGGAAAGTGGTGCAGAAACCTCACGTCTCACCCTCAGCCGGCTCCTCTCTGGGGCTTAGCTGTGTGCGGTGACCTGACACCTTTAGTAGCACCTCAAGGTGGCAATTCTCTGCCTTGGGTCCCTGGTGGCAGCTGCTGCTCTGGCTTAGGTCCCCGGCCAGTAATGGTTTGAACAGTTGAAGGGGTGGGAGCAGACCAGACTGTACTCCGGGCAGGGGTGGGGGTGTGGGCGAGACAGTGTGCTCCCCTCCCTGTTACTGCTGGCGGGGGGCACAGCACAGAGCTCTGTCCAGGCCTGTGTGCAGAAGCTCCAAGGGCCCGGTGTTCCCTCTTTTTCTCTGTTGCTTAAGAGAACAAAAGGCTTTCCTCAAGTATGATTCCCGGGGCTGACCCGCAGCCACGGACACACGGGGCTTCACTGGTGCTCGCTCTTCTCCGGACAGAGTGGTGTCCTCACCAGCAAACACATCCTCACAGAGCTCACTTCTGTCTCCTTCACTGCAGGTCCCTCACTCTACCCTTGTTATTTTATGTTAAAGACATTTGGGCAGTCAAGATTTATTTCCTTATCTTCTATAACTGCTGGACACAAGAGAAAATAGCAGCTTTGTAGTTCTAGGATGGGATACACACAGAAGGCAGGAGCCCGGGAGGGGTGCCCTCCCCTTTGGGAGTGGGAAGGATGAAAGGTGCGGGTGAGTGACGGAAGTCGAGTCTCCGGGCCATTAGCAGGGCTGGGAGGTCACGGGACTTTGCAGGTGTGTGTGAGGCCCGCGTGAGACTGCCTGGACAGCCTCACGTTGCTGGGGAGCCGCTCCTCAGGCCCATTTTCCTCAGGGAGTTCCCCCGGAGCTCAGAGACCTCAGCAGGCCTTGTTCAGAACTGAGTGGCTAAGTGGTGATCAGCAGCCACCTGACTGACACATTGTCCTGTCACTGGCAGGAGACACACCTGCCAATGCCCAGGGCCTTCAGAGGAAGCCGTGAAGTACCAGCTCTGTGAGGCGCTCACACCTGACTCAGGACTCACCAGTCCATCTGGGGTAGCCCCAGCCCTGCCCCCTTCCCCAGCTATGGGAATAGGCAGGGCCGGTTGACGTCGGGTTGGAAACAGCAACATGAGGGTGAGGTTAGTTAACAGAACAGCTGGGCCGCTCCCAGCCCTGCGTGAGTCATTTCCTCTGTGTAGACAGCCACTTTGGGTGGCCCAGCCAGCTTCCTTCCCTCTGCTCCTCTACTTGTAAGCACAGAAAAGCAGGGAAGGCTTGAAGTAATGCGGTGAAGGAGCGAGAATCCATTCCCACAAGCCCTGCTCCCTGCAGCCAGTGGCCAGCTGCAGACTCAGAGAGACGACCACAGAAAGGGAGGGGCGGCCAGGCTCCCCGGGGGCTCCGGGTCCTGTTTGCCCATGCCTCCCTCATCTCAGACCCTACAAGCAGGGCCAGCGCACCCAGTAGTCATTAACAGGTAGTGCTGGGACACCAAGAAGTCCACACGCAGAAGAATAAAGATGCCCCTTCCTCAACTCCAAACAGAGCATAGACCTAAAATGTAAGTGCTGAACCTGTAGAACTCAAGCAAAAAGCATAGGAGTATTTTTTTTACTTTGACGTAGGTGTTGGTTTCCTAGAGACTTCACCAGTAGCACAGAGACAAAAGAAAAAAATAGAAGTTTAAACTTCATCAAAATTTAAATGTCTGTGCTTCCCAAGATCCCATCAAAGACAGCCCACAGAACCAGACTATTAGCAAATCAGGCATCTGATAAGTACTGTCTGGGGTATGTGAAGGACCCTAGCAAGCCTAGTAAGTTTCCTGGGGCTGCTGTAAGAAAGAGACGTAACTTGGATGACCTTAAACAACAGAGATGAGTTCCCTGGTCCTTCTGCAGGCCAAGTCCCAAATCCAGGAGTCCACAGGGTCTGTTCCCTCGGCAGCTCTCGAGGACGAATCTGTTCGTGCCTCGCTTCGCTCTGCCGCGGCACCGTCCTTGGCATCTGGTATGTCACAGGCCTCCTGCCTGCGTGTCTGCCTCCCTCCGTGTGTCTTCTCCTTTGTGAGGACACATCATGTTGGGTGAAGTGGCCACCCTACCCAGTGTGATCCCACATTAGCTAATTACTCTGCAACAGAGTGACACTCTGAGGTGCTAGGAGTTAGAACATCAGCATCCCTTTTGAGGGGTGCAGTTCAACCCATAACACAAAAGTAGAATAAACAGAACAAAGGAGCCAATTCAAAATGGGCAAAGGACTTCAAAGGTCATTTCTCCAAAGAAAATATGGAAACATACTCAGTGCATTAGACATTAGGGAGATGCCTGTCAAGCCCCAGAGTGCTTCAGGCCCGTCAGACACCTGTAATGAACAAAGAGTGCAAATACAGCTGTTCCTTGGCATGCGTGGGGGGTTGGTTCCAGGACCCCCTGGATCTTAAAAGCCGAGGTGTTCAAGTGCCCCATCCAAAATGGTGTAATGTTTACCTGTAACCTGTAGCACGTCCTGGCAGGGGCTTGAAATCATCTGTAGATAATGTGTAACACCTAACACAATGTATATACTATGTAAATAACATTAAACTGAATTGTTTCGGGATTAATGATGAGGAAGAAAGTCTGTATGTTTAGCACAGCCACACTACAGTGGGCCTAACTATTTTCAATCCATGGTTGGTTGAATCTGCTCTTGCAGAATTCATGGCTATCGAGGGCCCACTGTCATAACAAGCAGGGAAGTTGGGTTAGAAATTGAGACACCCCCCCTCCCCCCCTCCAATGCATGGCTGGTGGGAATCTAAAATGGTACAGCCACTTAGGAAAAGTGTTCGGGACTTCCTCAGAGAGCTGGACGTAATTACCCTCTGTCCCATCCATCCCCCTTCTCGGCATGTCCCTGGGAGACTACAAAACAGGCCCGTGCAAAACCTTGTGCGTGAATGTTCGCAGTGGCCAGAACAAGCAAACGTCCACCACTACGTGGGAATATTATTAGTAATAAAAAGGAACAAAGCACAGACACAAACCACAATGTGATCTCACCTGAAAGTGGTCACTAAGGGAGAGCAGCCCGTTACGGAAGGCCGAGTGGTGTAAGATTCCGTTTGTGTGAAATGTCCAGCACAGGCAAATCTTGAAAGAGATTGCTGGTTTCCTAGAACTGGAGTGATTGGGGCGGGGGTGTGTGTGTGGGGGGGTGCGTCGTCACCGCTACTAGATGTGAGTTTTCTTTTGGGGTGATGAGATGGATGCTCCACTCGGAATACACAGGAACTACTGAATTGTGCTGAACAATTTAAATTGTGCAATTTAAATGCTGTATGAATCCTTTCTTCGCAAAGGGGCTTGGAAAAAACAATCAGCATCTTTACTTTTGTTGCACTAGAAAAGCAAGAGCTGGATCTCGGAAGATGACTTCTATCGGCCGCCCCGAGAAGAGCCGGCGGAAGGTCCTCCAGATAACTCTCCGCACTCCTCCAAGGGGACCCCAGAGACAAGGCCTGGTCTCCACAGGCATCTTTCTCAAGGACCAAGGAAAAGCTACTCCACGGGGGCCTTAGACAAAGCCTGCATGCCTTCCCCGGGACCCAAGACAAGCCAGGCCGCCGCGACGGCCCAGGAGCACAAGAACTTCCGGGTGGTGCACCGCAGGCAGATGGGTAGGTGCCTCTGTGGGGCCCTGGGCACCTCCCTGGGCAGGGATGTGGCTCTTGAGAAGGCAGCTGCAAGATTCTGTTCCCCCTTCCCAGCCAGGTGCCACCTTCTCTCAAGAAAAACCTTTCCAGTATGTAAAATAGGAACACTCTTCCTGAGTAATGCAGGAGAGCATTTCAGGAACGTTCATAAAATCTTAATTAAATCATACTCAGCACTGCCTACAGAGTACAAAAATACCGTGCTCATGTTGGAGTGGAAGCTGCTTTCCCTGACAGAATCCTCTCCTGCGATTCTGCAGCACTCTCCACTCGGTCTATAGCCCGGGGCACGCTGAGCCTCCAGGCCCCAGGGCTCTCTGCAGCTCCTTCCTAGGCTTTTGTCTCAGGTGGTTTATGTAACACCTCTGCAGGGCCTACCTGATCTGCGCTGCTCAGTGTCCTCTCTCTGCTGTTCACAGTGAGGCCAGCGTATCTTCACACCCAGTGAAGTTCCAGGAACTATCACCTCAGTTTTCTGTAACCTTCAAAAACGGATGAGCAAACAAAAAAAAGCATGCCCTCAAGTGGCTCTCTGGCTCTTCCCCTCTGCTGTGTGCAGTGACTCAGCAGAGAATTCGGCCGGGTCCCTGGGGCCCGGTGTGGGGAGTGTGGGTAGAGCCCTGCTGTCTGTGCTGGTTTCTCTCAGGCGCTTCCCTCAGCCCACGTGATGGCTGCAGCCAGGGAAGGGCGCTTTGTGCCTAGGCATCAGTTCCTGGAGGGTGGGGAGACCCTGTACAAGGGCTGCCTGTCTCCCGGGCTAGCCCTGGCGTGGAGAAGACAACTATGTGTCCTTTGGACTCCTGGCAGTGCCCGGCAGCGTGCACACAGGCACACTCTCACCGTGTGCATGCTTGCACACGTGCTGGGCATCTGAGGCGTGCCGGGCGCTTCTCGATGCTAAAGCACAGTGGGGAGCAAGTACGTGTCCCCATCTTCCTGGGCCTTATGCTCTAGCACAGGGGGCAGGAAATGAGAAACAAGCGAAGGTCTAGTATGGGCAGTGTAGTAACTGCTGGGGAGAGCAGAATCAGGCCGGGGTGAGTCTTTCACCTCGGGAGCCCTCCCAGGCCGGGAGACGTCGCAGGGAAGGGAGAAAGGGACGGGGCACGGCAACCTTCATTTCAAGAAGGGAGCGCGAATGTTCCCTGTGGTGGGAACATACTGATGTGTCTGGGGAACAGAGGAAACTGGAGCAGAGGTGATGGGGATGGAGATGGCGAGGGGTGAGGTCAGAGTGATGGCAGCCTAGTGGGCCACAGAGGAGGACTCTGGTTTGCCGTGAGGAGCTGGCCACACTGCAGGTTTGGGCACAGGGCCATGGGCTGACTCGTAAGTGGATCGTTCTGACCCAGGGGGAGAAGGGCCCTTGAGGAGGTCATTGCCATTATCCAGGCCTGGGCTGGCGGGTTGGACCGTGAGATGGTGGTGGCGAGGGTTTGGACATGCCAAGAGGGTTCCGATAGGGGTATAAAAGAAGTGGGGTAGGGGGCTCCCAGGCTGGTGACCCAAGCAGCTGGATGGATGCAATTTGCCATTTTATGAGATGAGCCACATTAGGAGAGGAGCGGGAGAATAAGGAGTGGGAGGATCGGGAACCATTTTTGAACTCTGAGGAGTCAGATGTACATGGAGCACGTGGTAATCTGAATCTGAAGTTCAAGGGCAAGGTCCAGGCTGGAGGTACAAATTTGGGAGTTATTGGCATCAAGCCCCAAGTGCAAGTGAGACCAGCTCGGAAATGGGTGTGTACGGCAAAGGCACCAGGCCTGTGCGCTGGTGCACCATTGGGAGGCCAGCGCGGGAGGAGGCCAGTGCCCCAGGGACCGAGCAGAGGGTGGAGAAGGACAGGTGGGTTCCCAGGCCAAGGGAGGAGAGTTCCCCTCCGGCCATGGCTGACGGCTCAGACCACACGCAGGCCAAGCATTGGCCTTTAGGTTTGGATCCCAGGAGGCCCTGGTGCCCTTCCCAAGCAGTTTCCGTGGCGTGAGGGGACAAAGCCTGATGGGAGCAGGGCAGCTGGAGACACTTCTGGTGCCCCGGGATCTCTCTGCAAAGGGGCAGAGAAGGCAGAGGTGGAGAAGTGATGGAGTCCAGAGAGGCATGTGTAAAGAGGGGGCTGTGGCCGTGCATCTGTGTGCTGCCAGGAGTGATCCAGTAAAGAGGGAGAAACGGAGTCGGGGGAGGGAGAATGGCTGGGGAGGCACCCTTGTCCTGGAGTGGGCGGGTGGGGGATGTGTGCGCATCCCTGGTGACAGCAGCATTCTGGGTACAGATGCGGGAGAGGGGAGGTGGTGACGGGCATATGGAGGTAGTCTTTTGAGAGCTTTCTTTTTCTGAGAAATTCAGGAGCAAAGTCAGCCACTCAGGGCATGGTGGGCATATCCCAGCCAGCCCCGGGCCCGGCCTGTGTTCAGGTAGCAGTCACTGGCCACATCCGCTCCAGACCTCGGCCTCTGGGGGCTTTGTTGGGTGGTGGAGGGACAGGCCCATTGGCTAAACTGCCTCTTTGCGCCTCCAGGGCTGTCTAACCCCTTCCGGGGTCTCATGAAGCTGGGCACGGTGGAGCGGCGAGGCCCAGTGGGCATCTGGAAGGAACTCTTCTGCGAGCTCTCCCCACTGGAGTTCCGCCTCTACCTGAGCGACGGGGAGCGCACCTGCGTGGAGAACTGCTCCCTGCTGCGCTGTGAGTCCGTGGGGCCGGCCCACAGCGATGGCCGCTTCGAACTGGTGTTCTCGGGCAAGAAGCTGATGCTGCGAGCCTCCTCGCAGGACGAGGCCGAGGACTGGCTTGACCGGGTGCGGGAGGCCCTGCAGAAGTGCCGGCCCCAGCAGGAGGACGAGTGGGTGAACATCCAGTACCCGGACCAGCCCGAGGACCCCCCGGCAGCCCCCCAGGGCGGCACCCTCTCCCACTCGGACCTGCTCCCGGAGCCAGAGACCCTCCAGGGCCCGCCGCTCGAGTGGTCCTCTGCACACGTTCCTGAGCCAGACGCTGTTAAGGAGTCGCTTCTGTACCTGTACGCGGACAGGACCTGGGTGCCCTGTATATTCTCCCTGTCCTTGGAGTCCCTGAAATGCTTCCGCCTGAGAAACAATGAGAAGATGTTAAGTGACAGCCATGGAATCGAGACCATCCGAGATATCCTGCCAGACACGAGCCTAGGGGGCCCTTCCTTCTTCAAGATCATCACGGCCAAGGCCATCCTCAAGCTGCAGGCCGGGAGCGCCGAGGAGGCCGCCCTGTGGCGGGACCTGGTGCGCACGGTCCTCGCATCCTACCTGGAGACGGCCGAGGAGGCTGTGACGCTCGGCGGGAGTCTGGATGAGAACTGTCAGGAGGTGCTGAAGTTCGCCACACGGGAGAACGGCTTCCTGCTTCAGTACCTGGTGGCCATCCCCACAGAGAAAGGCCTCGACTCCCAGGGCTGCTTCTGCGCAGGTGCGGGCTTGCACTCCTGCCCTTTCGCCTGCAGCCTCATTGGGCCTCCTGGTTTTGCCTCTCCACCCCTTCCTGCCTCACCAGGAGCACCCCTGTCCCACTCCAGTAGTTCAGCAAATGAGGTTTTCCTGCAGCCTCTGCTCCTCCCAACAGCCATTGGGGCCAGTGCCCCTGCTTGTGGGAACCCCGCCCTGCCCCTCCCGCCACCCCCTGCCGAGGGGGGACCTGTGGGTGGCAGCGCTGCTGCCTCTGCTCAGGGTTCAGGCCTCCACGCCTTCACTGTCGTCGACCACCTGTTCTCAGGGAACAGGGGCGCGGTGCCCTTCCAGATATTTTTGTGTGTGCCTTTGCAAGTGCATACGATTTTTGAAGCTACGAATTGGTCCTCTACTCAGCACGGTCCAATAGGACTTTCTGTGGTCATGAAAACCTTCCAGATCTGTGCTGATACATAGCTATAAGCAGCGTGTGGTTACAGATATTTAAAGTGTGGCCAGAATACCAAGGAGCTGAGTTTTCGATTTTGTTTAAATTCAACGTGTTTAAATGGTACATGTGTCTGGGGCTGGCATAGCTCTTCTCTATATATTATTCTGTGACCTGGTTTTTTCTACGTAATGATACATTGTGGCTGTTATTCCAAGTTAGGCCATCAGCTGTTTCATGATCATCAAATCTAATTCTTTCTCACTGGGCACTGCGCCAGAGGCTTCATTTGGATTTTTGCCTCTGTCCTCAGGAGAGTCCTCTAGAGATAGTTGCTGCTGTTACCTCTGCTGGTAGCTGAGGAAACTTCAGTCACGGGCAGGTAAAGCACCTTGTCCCAGGTTCACTTAGCAGAGCCCGCGCAAGGATCTTAAGGGGCAGACCCAAGAGGCTATCATGGCCCAGTCCCCACTAGCCTGTCCACTCACTCATTTTTTAGGGCTGCATGATATCCCACCATTCACCTTCCATTTTTAGCTCTGCTCCCCAAACCTGGCCCTTTTACAGTCCCCTGAGCCTCAGGGTGACCAGTGAAGAGGTCACCCTGCTGCAGAGTGCCAAGCAAGCTGCACGCAAAACCGTATGCTCTGAGGGTGGGCTGTGGGACGAGAGGCGGAAGCCTGCTTCATCATCTGCAAGGAAGAGGTCTGCGGCGGCGCCTCTGGACACAGGAGAAGCTAGGCGGAGCAGAGCTTCCTGCAGAAAACTCCACACCACTGCTCACGCCAGCCCCTAACATTCACAGCCTAGGGTGCCGGGCTCAGCAGGACACCAGGACCCCAGGCCTGTGCGTGTGAGTGGGGGGTGGGGGGAGGAAACAGCATTTCCCATGCCAGCCACTCACCCGCCCGCCTGCCAGGAAGACTGTGAACTTGAGGGGAGCTCTCCTTTTGCCTGCAGGCACAGCTCAACAGCCAGGCACACACCAGCCACTGACAGATCAGAGTTTACAGGGTCTTTAATAAACCCACAGCATAGCAACAGTCACTGCAGTGTACAGATACCAGAATGGAGCCTTGAAAAGTTCGGTAAAGGTCAGGATGAGGCTTGTCGGCAGAAGAGCCAGCCCTCTGAGGCCCGGGGACTCTTCCCCTGGCCCCGTGGAGGCAGGGTTTGAGCCAGGCCTTTGCTCTGGGCACACCCCACTCCCACTGCCCCCACCATGGAGGGAGTCCAGCAGAGGACTGGAGCTGGGCCCTGCACCCCTATCCAGAGGTGTCAGGCAGCTCTGGCAGTGTCCGGTGCCTGCACACTGGCTACCAGCTGGTTACCCCACCCCCAGTGGCTGTCCATGCCCGAGCGCCTCTGTGGCCGAGGCCCTGACTGAGGTGCTTGCATTTCTGGGCCCCAGTGGAGGCGTGGACCTAGAGGAGGCTGGCAGCGAGGAGCAAGCGCGAGCACGGAACGAGGGCAGCTGGCTAGGGGAGAGCAGCCTCTAGAACCAGCCCAAGCCACATCTGAGGCCAGCTGCGCCTCTTAAGCGCTGAGTGACTTGGCAGGTTTCCTGACCACTCTGCAGCAGTTTCATCAGCTGTAAAGTGGCAGTAATTTTTACAGCGTTTCGTTGTAAAGGTTAATGAATAGGGTTGATTCTGAGTGTTGGAAATACGAGCGCGGTGGTTTTTATCTTTGTGCTCTCTATACTTCCCTGAAATAGCTGGCCCTTTGCGCCGACCTGGCATCTGTGTTACTGGCCCAAGTTGCTCACTGTCCCCCCGCTTCTGCTCCCCAGGCTGCTCCCGGCAGATCGGCTTCTCATTTGTACGCCCTAAGCTCTGTGCCTTCTCTGGCCTCTATTACTGTGACATCTGCCACCAAGACGATGCCTCAGTGATTCCAGCCAGGATCATCCACAACTGGGACCTCACCAAGCGCCCGGTAAGTCTCACGCGCAGCCTGTGACCGGGTGGCCACAGCTCTGCTGCTGCCGGACGCCTGTTGAAGGAGTTTGGCTCTAGGGAAGCCGGGGTCACAGGTTGGACCCTGTGATGCAGGCCAGGAGGGAAATGGGGTTCCTCCGGCCCCTGGACAGAGCTCTGTCTATACCTGCCTTAGACCTCAGGCAGGAGTCTGCAGAAGGTTCTCTAGCTCCCCATGGCCTCAGACAAAACTGTTGAAGGCATCAGCACTTGGAGAGGTGGATAGGAAGGGTAAGTTGGATGGATGGATGGATGGATGGATGGATGGATGGATGGATGGATGGATGGATGGATGGATGGGTGAAGGAGTAGGTGGGTGAGTGGATGCAGAGGTGTGGGGGGTGTCGGGGGGTAGGGGCGTGGGTAGGGTGTGGGGGATGCGGTGGGTGGGCAAGCGCAATAGCTGACTGCATTTATTAACTTCCGTGTCTTATTGTAAAGCTGGGATCATCCTGCTCTCACACTGCTTTGTAATATGCTCCACTCACATTATACACCAGCTACTTTATGTTCCCCAAATACATTTGATTAAGATGTATTTTAAGATCTTTTTCTTAAGTTTAGCCGCTTACCTAATGGTGTTACCACAAGCAAATGATTTGACGCTGGCCTCCTCATCTGTAATGGGGCTTCCTAGGGTCGCCTGAGGACTAAACAAGACACTGGCCTCCCAGTGCCTCGTAGTGCTCCCTTTCCCTGTCCCCAGACCTGTCACCTGCCCCAGTCCACTCGGTCAGGGGCCGCCTCGAGGTGCACAAACGTGGCTGCCTCTGGGAAGCGAAGCCCTCTGCCGTGCGCAGAAACCTGAGGGAGAAGCTGCCTGCTTCTCTCAAGACCCAGGGCCCGCGAGCCTCGCACCCTTGATGTGGGGGTGTGTCCTCCCCCAGCTCAGGGATCCGGTTCTCAACTCCACCTCCCTCGGGACAGGAGCCCTAAGATGTCAGCATCACTTTGGCTTTTTGGTTGATTACCTCATCCCCACCCCTGCCCTCAGTGTTAAGTATTTGACTACACAGAGAAAATTTGACCTCAGAATCACCACAAAGGCCATAAAATACACTTAGTGTCTGCGAGGCCCAGATGCTTCTGTTCCTTGCTGTAATCCTTGTGCGACTTCCTTCTTCCAGCTAGAAAATGACAACACTTCCTTAAGCATGTCTCAGATCAGGAAATAATCCAGCTCTCTGGGAAAGAAAAATTCCAGCTAGAAAGTGGCCGATCTCGGGTTTGGGGCCCTGTTCTGTCGGCAGCTCGGTGGGCCTGCTTGTGCCAGGCTGCCCGCCCACCGGCAGGATGCCAGCCCAGGACAGGACATCTGTCTTTGCCTTCTCCCACCCACGGGACAGAAACAGCCCCTAGGAGTTGAGCCCGGCCGCAGCGCTGGGCAGCTCCCCGCAGCGCCCCGACTGCCCTTTCACCCGCCCCTCACCCGAGGCTTCAGGCTGCGCCCGTGGACGGGCAGTTTGCAGAGGCCCCTGCACCACAGGTGACAGTCTCCTGAGGACCTTGCCACATTCCCTGCCCTCCAGGGGATGGTGGAGCCCAGCTGACATGCACGGGGTCTGATGGCGACCCCCACTTACCAGCGGGCCCACTGCATGCTAGGAGCTTACATGTGTATTTTTTAATCTAAATTCAAAATAATCCTATGAGGTAGATGATTTCCCATACTACAGATGAAGAAACCTCGTCACAGAGGGAGTGTCACAGGTCACACAGAGAGGAAGTGGCGGAGCCAGGATTCAAACCTAGTTCTGACTCCAAAGCCTGACCCCTAAACACTGCGCAGCAGCGGCCAGAGAGAACGGCAGGCTGGCCTCCCTTGTCAGGCGAGGAGACGGCAGGTGGCCTTCTCATCAGTGTGGCAGCTCCTTGCTGGGAGACAGTGCTTCAGTTCGGCCACATTGGCTTCTCTGAGCCTCCATTTTCTCATCTGTAAAATGGGGCCCTTTCCCCATTGAGTCATTACAGGGGTGAAGAAAAGGTTTGGTTAAGGTCCTAGCCCAGCACTGACAAGGAGGAGCATTCGTGATTGGATTTGGTATCAGGTCAGGGTAGAGCCTCCAGTACCGTGTCAGTTGAGGGGGCCTGGCACCAATCACTCACCTCCACTCGGAGACTTGGGGGAACCCCAGCTGGTGCTGCTGGCGAAACCTGCGCAGCTTGGGAAATCTCGAGTTAAGCCATGTCTGATCTGTGGCTTCCTGTGCTGGGAACCTGACTCAGACAGGCACCTGGTTCCTGCGTGGGTCCAGGGGCAGTGCTTGTTTCCTGTGGGCTGGACTGCGGGGCTGAGAGGACAGGAAACGGTGGGAAGGGCCAGGCGGCCTGGGGCGGGGTGGGGCACTGGCCAGAGCATCCTCTCCTCATGCCCAGTGGAGTCCAGGCGTGGCCGGGAGGACCAGCAGCTGGTGCCATGGAGGCAGCGGAGGGTTGGGTGTCAAGGGACAGATCGAATTTTTATGGCTTTTATGAGCCGTGGACCCTGGCATGTCACTCATCTCTTGGGACCTGGGTTTCCAGCCGGTAAAGCGGAGACAGCGCCGCTTCCCTCGGAGCATAGGGGCCCGGGCGGGAGGGCGGCGTGGGCTGCAGTGCCTGGCCAGGGAGCCCTGGCCACGGGGATGCTCTCCCGCCTCCAACGCCTGCTGGTGTCCCCAGATTTGCCGCCAGGCCCTGAAGTTCCTGACGCAGATCCGGGCACAGCCCCTCATCAACCTGCAGCTGGTCAACGCGTCTCTGTACGAGCACGTGGAGCGGATGCGCCACATTGAGAGGAGCCGGGAGCAGCTGAAGCTCCTGGGGGACTACCTGGGCCTGTGCCGCAGCGGAGCCCTGAAGGAGCTCAGCAAGAGGTGAGCGCCAGGGTGCGGCACACTCCCGGCACCTCACGCACAGGCGTGCGCCCTGCGAGGCTGGGCCAAGAGCTCCTTCCCACACTGGCCGCCCCCTCCCCGGCTGAGTCCGCCTCGCTGACTTGCAGGCTCCGGAGCCGCCCTGCCTCCTCCTGGGCCCCGCCGTCCCACCCTTGGGTGGCCGCTCAGCGCACGTGCTCTGAGGCCAGCCTGCGAGGGAGCCCAGCCGCGGCTGTGGGAGCGAATCTGCCAGGGCCCAGGCCTCGGTGTGGTTTGGGGAAGTTGCTTCACTTCCTCGGCCTCAGCGGGTCAGTACTGTGTTCCAGCGGCCTCGAGGTGAGGGATGCCGAGCGGCTCAGACAGTGCAGGCCCTGTCAGCGTGGCCGGTGCAGGGAGGGAGGGCGCCTGACCCAGCCGTGGCCACGTGCAGAGGCCAGGGAAGCTCCCGGAGGAGGTGGCATCTGAGCTGAGCCCAGGAGTTTTCATTAAAAAAAAAAAACAGGCTCTTCCTCTTTAAACAGATAGGCGACAGCCAGTGTAACGGGAAGGAAGCGTTCGCGAGCGTCTGCTCGCCCGGGCCAGGCATGTGGGCAGTGGCATCACGTGCACCGTTAACTGGGGTGCACTCGCCGGACAGAGGAAGAGGGGCCCGGTGTCCGCGCTGAGGACACTTGGGAGGCGGAGCCTGGTGGAGCAGGGCTGGCCCAGGTCCTTGAGGGGCTCGGTGCCGCCGGGATGCGTGCGGGCCTGGACGGTGCCGTGAGGCGCAGCCGGGGCATCTCAGCTCAGTCTGCCAGTGGTGGGAGACGCCGAAATTTTTGCACATGGGACTAGCGCCTTCGCTTTGGCGGGTTGGGGAGTGCTCAGAAGGACTGGCAGGCCGCAGTGGGTGTCATCACCTGCCGCGGGGGCAGTGATCTGTCTGAAGAGGGGTGGGGGCAGGGACCACGTCCACCAGCAGGTAGGTGAGCAGGACTGAGGGGAGCCGACAGGTCTGGGATGTGCCCATGGCAGCCCCTGGCCAGGTCCTCTGAGAGAAGGGAGACTCTGGCAGGCTGGACATAGCTCCAAGGCTCGAGAAGCCCCTGAGGCCGTCTTCGCAGCGCCTCGGGCGCCTGCACATGCCCCAGTGAGGTGCCCACCGCACCGCAGCTGCTGCTCCCACCAGCCTGGGAGGGGCCGAGGGGAGCCGGGCGCAGAGAGACACCATGCAGGATGGGGCTGGCACCCACATCCTCCAGCCCTCGCCTGGGCCCTCTCCGCCCATTTTCCACTGGTTGGAGCTTTAGAGGCAGCCTCTCCCCACAGCTTTCACCTCCCCTAGAGCGCCCTGCTGTTGCTCTGTTCCTTCCTCCACCTTCCTTCAGCCTCGCACAGGACGAGGCCAGAGAGGGTCCCCTCACTGTGTGGGTAGAGAAGTGAGGCCCAGAGTAGGCCTGGGGTGTGGGTTCCACCCCTGGAGGCCAGGGTAAGTAGCCTCTCCCCTCTGGCCTCAGCTGAATGTGGAAAAACCAGCTGTAGGCCTGACTGAGAGTGTCACAGGCCCAGGGTACGGTGACTTGCAGGGAAGTCCCTGAGCCGGCTGGCCCGGGGGCCATGACTGGACAGAGGGCAGTCGACAGACGATTCTCCATCCACATCAGCCCCACCCTTCCTGCCAGCTCAGGGCCAGTGTGCGCGCGCACACACACATTTTCCTGGTGATAAATAGCGACTTCCTGAAACCTGGAAGTTTACAGGGGAAAGCAGTGTGAGTGGCCGGTCAGCAGCGTCCTCACCCCACAAGGCATCACGTGGCCTGCCTGGCTACTTGGGACTCGCCATCTCTGCCCAGAATTGGGCTCTCCCTGGACCACAGGGTGGGGCATAGCCCAGCCCCCATCGCAGGTGCCCCAGAGCCCAGCACCAACCTGCCCCCTACATGCCTGGCACATCCTGGGGCAGGCTCACAGCTGCCTGAGACCTGGAATAAATGCCCCCACCCCCATGGCCACACAGACACACAGCGAGCCAGGCAGATGTACCTAGCGGGGAATTGCTGCAGGTGTTTCCTCTCTGTCCCTCCCTAAATAACCCCTGACCCCTTTGTGAGAGGGAAGCTGGAATGGGGCTGGCAGTTCAGCCCTTGTCCGGTCTCCCCCACCCCCATGAAATGGGGGCCGCCGCGTGCTTTGGACACCTCTCAGTTCCTCTCACGTAGCGATGAACCCAGGTGCTTTAGACCAGGGGCTGCAGAGGGCAGATGCCACATCTTGGTGTTTCTGTCTGCAGCCCTGTGGTGACAGTAACCACAATGGCTAACACCTGGAGGCCTTCACTGGGGATAAGGACTTGGGATCTGGTGCCATTCAAATGCCAGCTCTGCCACTCTGGCTGTGTGACCACAGCAAGTGACTTGACTCCTCTGTGCCGCCACGTCTCTCCAAAATGGGGACTGTAAGGGGACCAACCTCACAGGATTATTAGGAGGATAAAATAATGTATGTGATGGTCTCGGCCCACTCCTGGTGCCAGGTGTTAACTTTAATCTGCCTCTTGATTACTGTTTATATAAACTCAGATTTTTATAACTTTAACTTTCTTCAGCTTTATTGAGCTTTTATAATTGACAAAATTGAAAGATATTTAAAGTGTCCATCATCATGATAATTTGATAGATGTGTACATTGGGAAAGGATTCCTCTTAGCTGCTCAATTAACACACCCACATTCTTGTCCACTCATAATTTTTGGTGAGAAATTTCAAACATATAATACTGGGTAGCTACAATAGTCAATAATTATTCATTGTTTACAACGTGCTAGGTAGGCACCGTGCCAAAAGCTTTAAGTGAGTGACTCAGTCTTAAGAACAACTCCACTCTCGGGTGAGGAAACCTGAGGTCCTGAGAGTAATTTCCCCAAGGTCGATGGAGCTGGTCACCTGCAAGACCAGGCCCCACCCAGGCGCTGACCAGCTCTTGGCCCGCCCTGTTCCCTGAGCAGCTCACGTCTGAGGGAACGAAACAAGCAGGTTGGCCCTGGTTGGAAACCCTTCTAAGGAAGCTCTTGTGTTTTCTGTGAAGGCTCAACCACAGGAATTATCTCTTGGAATCTCCCCACAAGTACAGTGTGGCTGACCTCCAGCAGGTGAGCATGTAACCTCACCGCTCTATAAGGACCTCGGTCCTGGAAAAATCGGGAGGGAGGGGAGGTGGTCAGCTTGGGAAAGGGGGTCTGCAGGCATCGGCTTTTCAGCACCTCAGGCTGCTGTCCCCTGACCCGGACCCCTCTGGAATAAGCCCCTGGGCCTCCTCGGGGTTCCTGGGCCCCTCCCTGCACTCAGACCCATCCTGTGCAGGCGGGCAGAGGGAGGAAAGGCCCAGCCTGAGAGCTTGGTCAGTCTTAGAGGAGGGACAGCGGGTGGGTACACAGAGCCCACCATGCAGCACCCTCCACGCACGAGGCCTAGCGCCTGCATTGCTCAGCCTGATTGTAGACGTTTTGCTGCCCGAGTGGGAAGAAACTTCCCTGGGACGTCTTTGGGGAGGGTGCCAGGAGCAGCAGAGGGAGCCTCGGCCTCCCCCAGCTGCCCAAAGGCCCCTGCGCCTGCTCTCCCCGCCAGATCGCAGAGGGAGCGTATGAAGGATTCCTCAAGGCCCTGATCGAATTCGCCTCCCAGCACGTCTACCACTGCGACCTGTGCACCCAGCGCGGCTTCATCTGCCAGATCTGCCACCACAAGGACATCATCTTCCCCTTTGAGTTTGACACCACAGTCAGGTACGAGGGTCCCCAGCCGGCGGCCCCGCCCCCAGGCGGCCCCCCCATCCCGGGGGCAGCCCCAGCCGCATCATGGGAGCGGACAGCCTATCCCAGCGGCACAGGTGGCCAGCTCAGGGCAAGGGGAGCCCAAGACGCCCCTGCGCCACCTGCCTGGCTCGGAGGAGGCGCCAGTGAGCGGGCCTCGCTGGGCCTCAGTAGTGCATCTAGGAATGGGGTGCGGGAGGACAGGCGCGTCACCGCAGTCTCTTCCCGGAGCGCGCGCTAGGCCTGGCAGAGGTGGGCGCCTGGTGAGTGGGGCTGCCTCTGCCTGCCACTGCCGGAGCCGCCTTTTCCCCTCATCACTCATGATGAGAAGCCTCTAAGTGGCAGTTTTCACCCACCAACCCTCCATTCCCACCCACGTGGGAGCAGAAGACTGCGCTGCCGGCACACCCATTTCTGCTCGGGAAACTGCTGAGTGTCTCCAGCCCCGGCAAGCGGCTGGGTGGGCTCCAGCAGCATTAGCGTCGAGCAGAGGCCCTGCGCTGAGGCTTAGGGCCGTGGCGCAGACTCTTGTTTGGAGGGGCGGTGGGGCCGGGAGCCTCGGGGCGTGCGGAGAGCTGGCAGCGCCGTGGGTGCTGGCTGGGACCTCCCGCCAGGGCACAGCCGGGCTCTCCTCTCCCCAGGTGTGGCGAATGCAAGACCGTCTTCCACCAGAGCTGCCAGGCTGTGGTGAGGAAAGGCTGCCCGCGCTGTGCCCGCCGGCGCAAGTACCAGGAGCAGAACACGCTCACCTAACCCTGGCCCGCGTCCCCCCGAAGCCAGGGCGAGGTTCAGCGTGGCCATCCCGCCAGGTTGGCCATCAGGCCGGGCTACTCGAGGTGGCCAGAGCGAGAGCCCTGGAGAGGCCCTGATGATGCCTGCACCCTGTCTGCCCTGGGGGGGCCACTAATCAGGCCCCTCACCTCGCCTCCACCTCCGTTAGGGCTGTTCAAACACTGCGGGGAAGGACTTGGGTGCATTTTCAACTCCACATTCCTGATAAAAGGTCTAGTTTTTTAAAGTGGGTTTCCCCCTTCATACTTCAACAGAAAATATTTTTGTATTCTCCACCCTGCACAAGTCACCCCAGCAATCTGGGCATTCACACCCTTAGCAAAGTGAGGTAACAACAAGGCCTGACCTGCAGGCTGGCCGCCGCCGGGACATGCCCACCACGGCAGTGCCCGTTCTGCTCTCTGGCTGCCCGTGTTCCCGGTGCGCCCAGTGCCAAACCCGGGGCCGGGGCCTCCACTGACCACCTCCCCGTCCACCTCTCTCCCTGCCTGTCCTCCCCTGAGAAGCCCACCACCTCTCTCTGGCCCACGGCCCCCAGGACCTGATCCCCACAGGAGAAGGGGGGACTCGGGGCAGCTCTGTCTGCGCATAGAGCCTCCTTGGTCCAGGGACGGGCCACCATCTTGCCCACCCTCCGGCCCGGGCTCCCCCGGCTTCTGCCACAGAGGAGCACCCAGACGGGTGGCCGCTGCTGGCTGGCTGACCTACCCAGGGGGAGGGAGGTCAGGTCGGGGCCCCACCTGAGTGCAGGCCTCGCCATGGGGAGCAGTGACGCTGCCCTTGGTGAAGAGCACGCACTGGAGGTGGCAGCTGCGAGCAGAGGGTCTGGATGAGGTGGGAGCCCGGAATGGTTTTCAAACCCGGGAAAACCTGGGCATGGTTTCTCTGCCGCCTTCCCCTGCCTGTCTGGGCCTAGCAGGCTCCTGCAGGCCTGGGCTCTTCTTCCTGCACTCAGCTGGGATGGGGGCCTCAGGTGGGACCACTCATCGCCATCAGCAGAGCAGCCTGCCCCCACTGTCGGCCGCTGAGTCACCTGCCCAGCCCTGTGGCGCTGGGGAAACTGCGCCACGCACCAAAGCCCCCGAGACCAGAACGTGGACCCCTGGCCCACCCACTCCCACCCCCACCTCCACCATGGCTGGAGTGCTGCTCCCCACAGCCTGGCCTCTCCTGGAGAATGGACAGGAGCCCAGCCCAGGACAGGGCCACCCCAGCCCAGCTTTGTTCCCCAGGCCTGGAGTCTGTTCCAGAAAGTGCCCAGGGGGAGCTCCCTGTGGGCAGGGTCTGCCCACCACCGGTGTATTAGCATTAGAGCCTTTCCCAAACCAGAAAGCTGCTGATGCTTTCCGAGGAGCTGGTTTGTACCCTGTCGCCTCCAACGGAAAGCTGCTAGGCGCCTCGGGGCCCACACTACTTTCACATGTCATTCTAGGCGATAAGCTGTTCGGCCCGGGCCCTGAGAAGTGCTTTGCAATGTACTGAGTTGCTGCTGCGTGTGAATTTTGAATGATTTTACAGTAAAGATATGATCTTTCCAATCTCTGGTCTCATTTCTGAAGCCTAATGCTGCTGACTGGGCAGGGAGCCCCATATCATCCATTGCCGTCCATAGTCTCCTTTAGTCGGTCCCTAGGCCCAGCGGAGACTTGGGGGGAGGCTGGGTGGAAACGTGTGACCCGTGTGCAGGATGGGCGTGGGGAAGGGGAAAGCGGCTGGCGTTCTGCCCCCCACCATTACCATCGCTAGAACTCGAGGTGCCGGTGGGCAGAGATTTCAGGGCCCATGGGAAGGTTTGCACGTTCACACACAGCAGCCGAAGCAGGTGCCTACAGTCCGCAGACCTGACACCAGCAAGCTCAAGACTTAGGAGGAGAGAAGGGGCTGGGCTTGAGCAGGACCGGTGGTGGTGGGGGGGGTGAGGGGCGGGCTTGTTTTAAAGTGACCTTTTTTTAGCTGCTGACCTTCCTCTGAAGTTCCAGAGCCCTGGGGGCCCCTGCAAGGGGAAGCCACCACTGCCCATTGTAAGGACAGAAGAAGGAAACAGACCAATTCCTAGGGAAATCAGGCTGCAGGAAAACGGGACTGAGACAGACAACACTCAGGTCTGCATTTCCTGTCCGGTGAGCCAGCCTACGGGGAGCATCATCTACCCGCCCCCAGGAGCCCCAGCTCCCCTTAAGGGCCCCTCCTCCCTGCAGGGCCAGTAGTGCTGGGCTTAGAGAAGAGGACTCAGGTCTGAGGATGGGCGAGTCAGGGCTGGTGGCCACCCACGTGCCCAGTGCCCCCAGAACACCGGTCCTGCCCCCAAAGGACTGGGGTTTGGCGTTCTCAGTCCAATCCCATGCAAGAGGAAGACTCATAATAAAAGTGGTAATAACATATATAGTGTGTGTGCTTACAATACTGTGCTAACAAACTGCTTTGTGTATCTACATGAATCTTTTCCACAATCCTGTGTATTGAGGGCTCTGTCCCGTTTCCTGGAAAGAGAACTGAGATGCAGCAGTAACTCCAAGCCTGGCGTCCTGGCCCAGGAGCTACTGCCCAGCTTAGCCTGGGCCCAAGGGAGCGTGGCCCTCCCCACCGACAAGGATCATGGGGTGGGGGTTGAAGATTCAAGGGGTGGGAATGGAAATCTGGTCCAAAATTGGGATGAAGAGGTTCCTGCTCCCCCCCCACCCCCATGCCATCCTACCCTCCTGGTCCTGCTGCCTCCACCCCCGGAAGACAGCGAGGTGTGGCCCGGGATCCCGGGAGGTGCAGGGGGAGGAGGTGGCGTCTCCGCTCCTGGGGCGCCGGCCCGGCCCAGAGGGGACAGGAAGCCAGGACACCGGGGATTGTCTCTCAGAGCCGCAGCCCAGCCCCAGCCCGGAGGAAGTTCTGGCGAACGCTGCGCCGGTGCCTCCCTCGCTATATTGTTGAGCAGGAAACGGCAGCGCGGGAGCTGGGCGGTCGCGGAGGGAGCGCCGGACGCCGGATCCACGCGCGCCTGCCGGGGCAAGTGGCGGCGAGCCGGCGAGCGGACGTCCCCAGGTGCGGGGGCCAGGCGGGGCCGGGCAGAGGAGCTGCGCCCGAGGAGGGGGTGGGGTACGGCCGCGGCGGGTCGTCCCCGCGACCACCGCGCGCCGGCTCCGCTAGGAGCGAGCGCAGGACTGCGCTCCGCCCGGGGCCGGAGGGGCCAGCCAGGCTCGGCCCCCAGTACAACCCCAGGCATTGGCGCCGCTGTGGACCGCGCCGCCCGGGCAGTGGGCACTGGGTACCTCGTCGAGCTCCAAGGACCCTCCCAGCTCCCGCCATCGCTCCCCCTCTCTGGTTTCCCCAGGACGGGGGACCGAGCCCAGATCCAGGTCCCCTCCCCACCCGGCCCGAGGCACGGCTCCCGGGTGGTCTTCCCTACCGCGGGAACCTCGGAGTTTCTCCAGGCCTAGCCGAGCCGCGCCTGGAAAGGCCTGGGAGGGCGGAGGTGACCCTGAGCGGGCAGTGTCAGCAGCGCGGCCGGAAAAGGCTCCTAGGTAGTAATTCTGGGTGCAAAAGGCCTCGCTCGGATTGGAGCCCGGGTTCCCAGAGCAGCGAGCGCGAAGGCTCGCGGACAGAACGTCCCGCGTGGGAGAGAGGGGAGGCGGGGCAGGGGCGGGACGCTCCCTTTCCGGGGCTCCACTCGCGACCCGCAAGCGCCCCTTCGCAGCCCCCAAGCTCCTGCCCCTCCCTCTAGCTTCCTGGGGTTGGGCCCCGCCCCCAGTGCCCCCGGCGGCCGGGGCAGAGTCGTTCTGGCATTCCCTCGGCCCTCCCTGACACAGACGCTTTGGGGACTGGGTGCAGCTTCCTAGGCACCCCTCTACCTCTCTGATCCCCTTGACAGCTCCTGCTGCCGGAGGTCCCGCCAGCCCTGCCCTTGGAAGCCCCGCCCAGGGAGATGGCAGCGGCCTAACCTGCCCCACCGCGGTTCCGCCCATCCAGCCCATGGGCTCCCTCAGGCGCGCCCCGCCAACGTGAGTGAGGGGCGAGGGGCCTGGGGCAGGTGGTGACGAGGAGGTGGCCTCCTCCCTGGGGGTTGCTGGCCGGGTCCTTGGGCAGTTTGCTGACCCCGCCTCTGAGGCTCAGTTGGTGACTCAGTTTACCACTCCTCCTGCCCCCCTCAAAGGTTAGGTAAGCAGAGTGCCATGCGTCTTTTCTCAGGGCCAGCCAGACGCTGTTCCTCCCCAAGCACCCAGCTGCTGGTCCTGGCCAGGAGGGGTGTTCAGGGTAGAGACTTGGAGGCACCAGCCACCTTCCAGCAGGTCACCAGCTCCTGGTATTGGTGGAAGGGCGCGGGCAGATCTAGTCAGGCTCTGCCCGAGGAGCAGGCTGAGCCGGCATAGCGGGGGCGTGTGGTGGGTCACTCCAGGAGAGCTTGGGGGGACCTGGGATACGCATGGGTAATTACCATCACCCAGGGGGTGTTCTGGGGTCACTCTCACCGGGCAGGGTAGATATCACAGGGCCATGGGCAGGCCACCAGGGCGAGCCGCTGTCCAGGGCGAGAGATGGCAGCTGGACAGCAGGGGGCGGTGCGTGCCGGTCTGGGCGGGCTCTGGGTTCATGCATGAGGCGAGGCCACTGTGGAAGGAGAGAAAAACCGAGAGAACCGGTTCCCCAGCCTTGGCAGTCGCGGCCCAGTATGCCAAGGCCCTTGGACTAAGCGGGCAGGAACTCTCCCAGGGTAGCGAGGCGCGGCGGTCCCCAGGGCCGCCCTCACCCTGACCCAGAGGACCTGGGACCCGGTGCCTGGAGGGATACTGCGCTGTGCACGCGGATTCCTTGAGGCTCGAGGCGGGAGGTGGGGTGGAGGGGCGGAGTCGAGGAGACCGAGGCCCGGGCAGCTTTGAGGCGAACATCTTCTGTCGCGGGTAATCGCCGCATCTCTTTGATCCAAAGCTTCCCTGGCTGTACGGTTGTCCCGCGGGGCCCACAGCCTGCCCATCAAGGCGTTGACCCCGGGCTCAAGTCTCTTCATCAGCAACACAGCACGGACAGGTGGCCTCATTCCATCACTGCGTAGAAGCTGGAGCCCTAGTGATCCCTTCCTCGGGTCCTCACCCCCACCGCCGGCAGGGAAACTGAGGCGCAGCGCGCACGGGGAGTGCGGCGCCGGACGGGTCGCGGTCTCCCGTCGCCCGAGGCCGCCGGCCCCCCCGGCCCCGCAGCCTCACGTCCGCTCCCTCCCTGTTGCCCACAGAGAAACGCGGCGGCCGCGATGGCGGCGGACGTCGAGGGGGACGTGTACGTGCTGGTGGAGCACCCCTTCGAGTACACGGGCAAGGACGGGCGCCGGGTGGCCATCCAGCCCAACGAGCGCTACCGGCTGCTGCGCCGCAGCACGGAGCACTGGTGGCACGTGCGGCGCGAGCCCGACGGCCGCCCCTTCTACCTGCCGGCGCAGTACGTGCGCGAGCT